ATCCCTTTCGTTCCTTTTATGCTTTCATTTATTGAATCAAATGACTTTTACTTATGTGAAATATTTCAAATATTTGTTTCATCTACTAATTCTTCTGCTGTTCAGTCCTGATTAAAGTGTCCAGAGATTTCTCTTCTATGGAAAACCTTTGTCTTTGGTAAAATAAGGATTTCTGTTTCGCCATGTGGAAGCTTTCGTAAAGTGCATGATATTTTATTCACCGATTTTGATCCGTCTTTGATCATTCACCCTGTTCTACTCTGTTGTACATTTAAGCTCCTTAAGCTCATGACTTAAGAATGCTAGCATTGGAAGCAGCTTTACCTCGTTTGTCATTCAGGATGGCTGTAGTTTAATAGACTTCTTAATGACAATTTATTAACGCTTGTTTACTGTCATCTTCCTACTATCTATATTCCGTGCCTGTTTTAGCTGTAATTCATTTTTCATTCATTCAATATTTGTTCACTCATTCGTTTGCTAATTCTTCCATTTTGAGGGTGCGGTTTACGTAGGTTCAGAAATCAGACTGTTCTTTGCATGCTTTCCTGGATAATCCGTCGAAAAGTTTCCCCTTAGCATGATAGCACGTAAACATTTTGAACTCTCAGCCACCCGATTAAACTATTTAATATATGACAATTTCCCGACGCTTCCATTCTTTAGAAAAGCTTTTTGAGGCGCACGTTTGATGAAATAGGGCATGGAAGTTTTCTCTCATTCCTGATCTCCACACTTAATTAATTCCAACACAACTCGATCCACCGCACATACTCTCTTCACTTTGAAATAAGACAACGCAGATTGACAATCACAATCATGCTCAGTGCTTCAAACGCTGCAGACGAAGTACCAGATCAATAGCTCGCTGGTTATGCCATAACAATAGTCTATCAGTCATCATAATCAATAGGACTTCTTCATAATTACATTACTCCATAACCGAATTAAACATTGACTGTCCGTGCTCTGGAAGCCCTTGAATTAACGATTCATGATTTATGCCGTATATTGAGCCCACTGTCCCAGCGTGATGCCGACTCGCTTCCTTGACCAGAGGGTTAAGAGGCCATTGGAACTGACTGAGCGATATTAACCTCGCTTACGAATCTACGGTTGCACTAACTTTAGGGCTGGTGTGGGTCAGGCTGTGGACATAAAACTGTTAATTTTGATACAACTGTGAAAATTACCAATTCCCAATGTTTGCTGTTAAACGCAGGACCCATCCAAGACCAGATTTCACGGCGTATTGCGCCGTTACCTTGTCCAAAAATGCCCTAGAAGACCATTGCAGCAGAGATGGCGTTGAAGCATATGCAGTGCACTGGATGCATCTCGCGTCACTTTGTCTGCTACAGCCACTTGGGATCTTCAGGACGTTTCAGTGTTTGGTATTCCTCATGTGCCACCGTATAGAAGTTAAAGGAAGCTCGTTGGGCGAGTTTGACGAACAACGCCACGTGACTCTTCCAAAGCAAATTGCTTCTTTGGTCAGTCAAACGACTCGAAATGGGTCTATCAGTACGGTTAATTAAATACAATAGTCAGAGATCAGTTTATCTGTTCGGTATCTAGGAACACGGAAGTAACATTAATGCTGCGATGTTTGATTTTGTGGAAACATGCGCAAATGAGTTAAAAATTCCATTATTAACATGTCATAATTCAATAGATCAACCCTTTACTTCCAGACTCATTACTAGTTAGCTAGTGACCATTTTGTATCCGTCGCTCCTCACAGCATGACCATATTTATTGTTGCTTTGTCATAGTTCTGAGGCTAACAGAAGAGTGACCCAGAATTTAACGACATCTCAGATTGATGCTAGACAGCGTTCACTGCTGCGGCAAAGATCATATTCCTTTTCGCAAGGAAGGCTGCCTCAAAGAGATGTTTCAATATTTGTGTTTTCTTGTTTCCCAGTGCGTCAATGACCGGCTGACGGTTTTCGCGTGAGAAAACTTTTGAATTAATCTCCACTCGATTTTCCGGTCAATTTATCAAACTGAACCCAGGCCAGGCAATCACATACATTGATGGAAGGCATAATTAACACGAGGATCATGAACATTAATCATTTACCAACTGAGTATGGGCTTTCTGAGAGGTCAGCTAGGAAGCAGTGGTGTTTTACCACTGTCCTTATCCTGCAATTGTTAAATCAATATCGAACTTCTGTTTCAGTGCTTTCCTAAAAATTTCTCTAATTCAGTTAACGATTTGTACTGATACAAAGACCAGCTACATAATTCGAGTCAAGCGCATGGTATCTATTTAAACTGAGAATCCAACATGACTGCAATTACGTAAGCTCTGCTTCATAAGCCGAAGGAAACTATGAAATGAAAGCTTGTAAGCGCTGGGATGCGATATCACATGAATTTCAACAGGTGGCATTTGTTTACATTTCACTGTTCATGATTCTTACACATGAATTGAAAGAATATCCGAT